TTCTAAATATAAAAACTAATTATCCTTCGTGGGTCTTATCTAAGATCTAGGTTATCCTGGTTTTACATTTTTGAAGCACAGGACCCCTTTAAATGAGTCACCAGTCAAAAACATTAATCCAATGGCACTTCCAGTGGCTATCTCTGAAAGAGCAAATATAGTTGTTTTAATGTTTGTTTTCTCCTCTATGGGTCAAAGCGATTCGTTTCTAAATATGCTTCTGTACTTGGAGAACCGGGATTTCAAGCAGCATTTGCTTAGGTTTGGTGGTCTCCATAACTGTTTTCTTTATGAATGGTAGAGTATCACATGCTTTTTGTCACTGAGGAAAAATTCACTTATCTCAACAAAAACTGTTATGTCCCTAACAAGGGCTGAGGAAAGACCATGGCCAACGACTTTATTTCTCCAATACGTTTAATTTTAGAGTTTCTACCTTTAAATATTAGCCTCTTTAGAATGAACATACCAGAGAAGACATGCATTTTTGCAAGATTTTTCAGGTAGAAAAAACAGTGAGGCAAAAGTGTGACTTCCTATAGTTCACTCAGTAATTCATTTGCTGAATCAAAAATAAAAGCTGTAAAAAATTTTAATTAAACCTGTGTTAACTCAGCATCCATATGATACATTACCCTTAAAATAACTATCCTCAGAAAAAGTCTTATTATTTTCACTCTACTATCTTAAACATATGGCATATCACATAAATGAAACACATCAGAAATGAATCTTATGCATCTACAGAGTAATTTAAAAGAAAGAAGGGGAAGAGAGGGAAGAAGGAAAAGGAAAAGAGAAGGTAGGTAAAAAGAAAAGGAGGGAAGAATAAGCTGTGTAAGTAACTACTCACAGTTCTAAACTTTTCTAATTCTAGGCCCCAACGTGCCAATTCCTATCTACTCATCCTCGGTGGTCTAATACAGCTCACTTGCCCGCCCTGACCCTCAGATTTTCATCTGGAAAACAAGGAAGTTGGCCTAGAACAGTGTTTTTTAAGGCTTTCTACTCTGAAATCTCTTTTTAAAGTACCAATTAACTATGGTTTCCCACGTGTGAGCTGTCCGTTAAGTACCTGTTAGTTTAAAAATATATGTATTTTACAAATTAACCGTTACATCCATTTGAAAATTCCCTTGGTCATTCAAAAATATTGCAAGTCTACATATGGCAATGAACTATTTTCTTCCCTTTTGTGAAAGCCATTTTTGGTGCACATATGAATTCAGAAAGTTCTCTCAACAACTCCATGCATTCCATACCCCAGCAAAGATCATGTTCATGTGCCACGGAAAATGTTTTTTATTGTGGAAATACCCTCAACACAACGCGCGGCACACAGCAGATATGCAAATCATGTAAGATTCCTTCCTGCTCCCAAACTGAGCGATACTGCTTTGCACTTAGAACAAAAAATTAAACCTCTTACTCAAGGAAAAATCAAAAACAAAAACCAGCATTTAGAAAATTTTACTAAAATTCTATTCTTAATGATTATCTCCAAAGTCAGAAGAGAAAGCAACAAATTACTTTCCTTAATTTTTTTATGTAATACATATCTATGCTGAATGAATTCTACTTATAAGACATACCCATAAAAAATTAGAAAAAATATCCAAGTTTTTATAAATTTCATGCTGGTATAAATGATAAGTGATACACATGGTTTAAAAGGTATTATCTCTGCCTTTTAAAAGCTTATACTCTGAAAAAGAATACAAAATAATTATGCCAGAGATAAGATTCCTAAACCAACAGAGAATAATAATGTATTCATCAATTCACTCATTCATTTATTCACACATGCAAATATTTACTGAACAGTTGCTGACTACATAAAAGACCTTCATCCAAATGAGGGTAAAGCAAGATAACTAAGACACAAAACTCCTAGCTCAAAGAAACCCAGCCAGGGTCTCATTAAAAAGCAACAACCAAAACAAAAACTGTTACGGAATTTTGAAAAACAGGGAAAGTGAGTTTGCCCTGTAGCCAGATATACGTACATCTCATGGACACTGCCATCTGTTTAGATGCCTAGTGTGCATGTAATAAGCTTTAAATTTCTTAGACTACTGGGTTAACTGACTGTACCAGACATAATCTTATGTCTTTCCCCCTTGAAGTTCTGGATGTATGCCATTAACTTAATTTACCATATTTTGCCACTGGAGTGTCCTGAACCTAAAATAAATGAGTGCTTTTTAGGTATGTCTCCTTTTAGAGACATTTCTAAAAATGTATTAAATTGTACCTTTCGCTAAAGAAAAAGGATTTGCTCCCAGAATAGCTAGCTACCTGTGCTTCAAGAAGTAAGTCACTCCTAGGTAAACTGATTTCACATGTTAAGCAGACACATGCACACCAATACACACAGTGTTCACCAACTTTGAGCCAGCAGAACTTTCCACCTAAAGAATAGAACATAAAAAACGAGATTGAGAGAACTGCTGTAAGGAAAGAAAAATAAAGATTAACACTTGGAGAAAATAGGAGAGGCTGAAAGCATGCACTGCATGGCTAAAAGTGGTAAAGCTCTAATGCTTAAGAAATTGGAAAGAAGTTGATGAAATGCCAAAATGTCTAGAAAGGCTTCGATCAACACCTTGGTTAGAGAGGGCTAAATGGCAAAATTATGGCAAGTGGACAATTCATTTACCCATACAGGAACTTGGAGAGCAAAAGTAAAGTAGGGAGTCTTGATTACTTGTTCAGAAAAGAAAAATTCAAAGCAGCAACCAAAAGTGACCCCCCCCAAAAATATAAGTTTGTCAAGTGATTAAAAGTGTTCATTTTTAGAAAAATATATTTTCAACTCTGAACTCTAAACTAAGAAACTTTCAGAATATTATTGAAACATGACTGTTCCTTTCCCTAACATTCGCAAATTGCATTTTGCATTTCAGTTATAGATCTACTGAAGTTTAAAATGGCTGGAAATTATTTCACATCTAGAACCTCAAATGTTTCAGAAGAAATAGAGTATTATTCCTGAATATTGGCAACAGTGTTTTCCATTACAAAAAGTATATAGACGTTCCAAACATACTTTTAACTAGAAAAAAAAGGATGTGCTGACACTTAGTTGACTTGATTCTTTTCACCTACATATGAACTCAACCATTTCCCTTCGTCTCCCAGTTTAAGAGATTTAACAAGGTATAAATACTACCATAGATGTGCGTGTGTATTTTCAAAAAGTCTGTCCAAATGATGAGTATTTTTGACTTCCTTAAAAACTAAGTAAGCAAGCATTAGATTTCAACCTAGGAAAGATTTTTAAATATCCCCTTACCCTAATGTCAGCTGCTACCCACGACCTCTATTGAAATGTTCACAACAAAAGGTCACAGGGTGCTCCATCCCCTCCTAAACAGCAATGGAAAGGGGCACACATTCACTACACTATTTTATTCGTAATCTCTATTGAAATATACCCCACGATACCAACTTGAATATAAATTGTAATTGTATATAAATCTACCAAAAGTTTAAATTAAGGAGTAAACAGATACAGGAATTTTTTTGAATGGGCTTCAAATATCTACATCAGAATATTAAACTAATTACTACTACTAACACTTCTCAAATACAGTTGGAGTTTCAGTATTACCACAGTCTCAATGTTTGCGCATGTTTTACCCTATCAGGGGCACCAGCTTCATTCTCTTTAATTAGGATAAAGACACTGTTAGGGAGTAACTGGGCCATAATTAAGAGTCATATTAAGGAAGGATACACTTTATTTGACTTGAACACTTCTCAGATCAAAAACTTCACCACCATTAATAGGACATTCCTAGGATAATACATCATTTCCTTTGATGATCTTGGAACCAGAAAAGTCAGATATTTACAAAGACAGTGATCTCATCAATTCCTGACCATCTTCAAAAGTAAGAAATATTTAATTCTAACTTAATGAAAGAGCCACACTAAATTTCCTTACCAATTTACCAGATTACATAAAAGAGATCGCCAAACACCGTATTACGCAAAATGAAAGCTAATTTAAATGTATTAGACTCTAGAGTGTGGAAATGGGAAAATCTTGCATTTTTAGATGGAAGGTATTTGTGGAACTCCTTGAGAAACAATACGTTAAAATAAATCATTCGTGTCTTGGTAAGAAATCAGAAGACCTAAGAGTAATACAAATGTATATAAACAGTTTTATGTTTTTTCCAGGTCACTCAAATTAATAGGGGATTGGATAAAATCATAGCACTATATGATTAATACTATTCATACCAGGTTTTGTTTGAACTCCAATTTTCATTCTACTCATCATGCACTACACACTGCACAAGGATCACTCTTTCTCTAGAGACAAACCCAACACAAACGCACACAAAAAAACCCCTTATATCCAAAAGCAAAGGATAACCAGACAATCTCTAAGATAAGAACTCTCAAAGTATTGATCTGCCTTTCCTATCACTCAGGCTCCTCAGTCTTGACAGCAGAGTGAAAACTGTTTTCCACAGGTGAAAGCCCTAACTCTTCATCAAAGCCACACCTGGGACAGAAAGGTAGAAAAGTGTTAACGCTAAAATCTCACGCCTAAGCTTTAACATCCTTCTGGAACAACAAGACCGAACTAGGCCCATTAGAAATTCTACATCAAATCAGTGACCACTAGTCACTAGTCTCCTAGTGCTTGAAACTCTGGGAAAGCCATCAAGCAGTCCCTAATTTTCTTGAGATTTCTGGGCTGGCCTGAGCACACACAAGACCAACTGAGTCAAATTAAGCTGGCAATAAAACAAGCAGTTCCAAGAAAGCAAATATTATTTTCAATTCCACATCTCCACGTCACCTCAGGCTACAGTATTCAGTCGAAACAAATGACATTCCCAACAAAAGCCGACTTTGCAAGCCCTTGGAACGTAGGGGTCTGCAGTAGCACTCTGGAACGTCTATGCTTCCTAGGATCAAAGAATAAACAAAGATAACTCAAGGCACAAGGCGATCCAGCACCTGAGATCTCAGTTAAAAAAAAAAAAAAAAAAAAAAAAAAAAAGCTAGGTCCTGAGGCAGCTGGTGGAAAAACAGAGAAGGGAAGTCAAAAGGCTACTTGCTGTCAGCTGAAACCAGGTCAGTACCGATCAAATCTCAATTTTCCCGGACATTGGTATAAAAAGCAATGGCAAAATCATCAGTCCCCTGCTCCCCCGTGTTTTTTGTTTTGTTTGTAAGAAAATGCTTATAGTGGCTTCCCGACCGCGCAGAACACAGCCAAGACTAAACTTTTAAACCTTGAGGAAGGTGGGAAAGTCAGTGAGCCAGCCAGACGCTGGCCTAGGAAAAGTAGGGAGAGAAGGAGGGAAAGAGTCATGTTTCAAAACAAAGGCTCCACACGGAACCGAACGTCAACCCCTCCCCACTTCCCAGCCTTCAAGCCAGCCAGGCTGGGCCTCGATTTTTAAGAAGCGTGGTAAGTCAGATTTACCCAGGTCTTCAGCGTTCACCGAGGCTTTGCCATGCACGAGAACACGGGCACAGCCACTTGCTGGGGGTGGTGCTAGTCCCCCTCAACCATCCCCTGGAGGAAAAAACAGGCTCGGAACGTCGGTGACTTGCCCAAGGTCCCACACTAGAACCCGAATTCAATTCCCTTCACGTCCAGGCAAGGCCAACGCAGGACGGGCGCCGGGCGAGGGCCGCGGGAGCCGCAACGGCAACGCCCCTGACCTGAGAGAACCTCGGGCTGCGAGAGGGGAGGGTCCCGCGCGCCCTCCCTCCGCGGCCCTTACCTTCCTTGACTCCAGGTAGCTTGGACTGGTCGATGCTGACTTCAGCCATATTGGGCCGGGGTCCCGGTTGCCCCTTTAACGCGGCTTCCAGGCCACCGCCGGCGCCGAGCGGGGCCCCGGAGCGCAGCAGCAGCGCCGGACGCGGCGCAAAGTCCGGCCGGCAGGGCTCGCAGGCCGGAGAAGGGAGCGGGTCGGGCGGGCAGGGGCTGGTGACCAAAGCAGCGGGAGACGGTCCCCGACGCACCAGGCTGGCGGCCCAGCTGCCCCGCCGCCACCACGCTGCCCCGCCGCGACCACCTGCTCCGCGTCCCCGGCCCCAATCGGTGCCAAATACCCGGAGCCCGGAAATGGGCCGGGGCCGTCCAGTACGGAGGGAGAGAGGAGACAGAAAGGCGGGCGGGCGGGCCGGGTGGGGGAGGGGGAGCTGCAGGTCTGTAACCGCAATTGCAAGTGGCTGGCGAGCGAAGATCAGCGCCCGCTGCCGCCTGTCTGTTGTCTCCTTTGTGCTCAGTGACGCGCCTGAGGCTGGGGCCCCGCTGTGCTCCCGCCCCCGGGCCCTGCCCCCCTCCCACGGGAGGGTCGCGTCTTTAGGTGGGGGCTTTGTATCCTAAAGACCTCAACAAAAAGGCCACACGGGTCACCCAAAACACAATCGTTCCCGGGAGCGGGGGAGTCAGCGTTCTGTGGTCTGGATCTGGGACTGAGATTAACACAGGATGTTTACTGCATGCCTGCCTCTGTCTCACACTCTCTTGGCGCCCGAAATTAGAAGAGAGATGATAGATGGCCATAAAAACCCCGAATACAACGTACAGAATAAAGAGCAGCTGATAAAATTCCGGGCCAGTGTGGAGTAGAGTGTGTACACAATCAGCTGGGAGAACTGAGTCATTCATTCATCAAAATCGCATGAATGTGTCTACCAAGTGTGATGTTAGGTACTGCGGGTGGTAACGAGGCGTCAGACTTATCTCTGTTACAGCGCTGCACACACTGGACTGTAATTGTGACATTTCTCTCTCTCCGAAATAGACAGCCTCTCCTGTTTCATCTCCTGGCAACAGAATGCACCCTCCTTGTGGGAAACTGCCTCTTTCCCCCCTCCTCAGAGGTGAGCTTCTCTCCCAAACGTGTGCCATGTCTGAACCTCGACACTACCACATCACTCTTCGCCCTTCCTCCATCGACATGGGTCCATCAAAGGGTGGCTGGATGACCAAGACAGGTCAAACAGAATACTTTCCTGGGCACATAAAGAGATATGTATTCTATTTCTTGTGGAAAAGTCTGCCTCTAGGAGATGATGAAGCCAAACTGAAGACAGAAGCAAAGAGAAGAGAAAGGGAGATGAGGAGGGCAGGTCCTGATGTTACCACAGTAGCAACGCAGGATATCCCCAGAGCAGCTGGCATTTCCGCAGCTCCTGGATTCTGGGATCGACAGCCAGCAAACTCTCAACTTATCCTCAGTTTTGCTTAAGCTAGTAATGGTTGATTTTCTGTCACTCACAGCTCAGAGTCCCAATATGAGAGGCCACATAGGGGAGGTTTTATTTGAACTTGACATTGAAAAGTAGGTGGATTTTAAGCTAGCAAAAATTTAGAAGACTTTCAAGGCCAGAGGGTAGCAAAGTATAGCCCACAGACCAAATCTACCCCACTGAATTTGAATGACTCTTTTTTTTTTTTTTATTGAATGACTCTTTTTTATATGTTCAAATAATTACATTTTAAATCACTACATAAATAGAACATAATATTTTCAACCTTGCCTCTTAAACCTCAAAATCTAAAATATGCTTTACAGAAAACGTTTACCCACCCCAGTGCTGGGCAGAGATAACACTCAGCAAGTTAAATGTGGGAATAAGAAGGAAGTGGTAATAGAAAGGTAGATTTATAGGGATTTTTTAATTGTCTTGCAATCTAGTGATTTTTTTTAAACTTCCTGTGGTCTAGAGAATATTTATAATAGCAGTATTTGCTGTTTCCCTCCCCAAATCTGTTGTTTCTACTTCTCTACCAAGCCGTGCCCTTGGAAGCCTATAGATAAATCACTAGGCCCCCTTGACCTGTGGCTTCCTGTTGTGATTGACTAATGGGAAGCACTGGCAGAAAATCAAAAGAAGGAAGGAGAGAAATATCAGGGTATGCTTCATTCCTTTAACCCAAAATTTTGGCCACAGTCCTGTCCCTCTATGACTGCAAGGCCTGTCTAGAGGCCTCTTTTCCATGGCTTCAGCTCTCATGGGTCAATAATAATACAATTTCTTTCCAGTGCCCCTTCAGGCCTAGAGTGTAATGGCTTCCCCTAGTTCCTTTTGGCTCACTGCAACTTCTGCCTCCCAGGTTCAAGTGATTCTCGTGCCTCAGCCTCCCAAGTAGCTGGGAATACAGGTGTGCACCACAACGCCTGGCTAATTTTTTGTGTTTTTAGTAGAGACAGGGTTTTGGCATGTTGGCCAGGCTGGTCTGGAGCTCCTGGCCTCAAGTGATCTGCCCACCTCGGCCTCCCAAAATGCTGGGATTACAGGCATACGCCATGGCACCCGGCCTCCCCTAGTTCTCTTAACCCAGCTAATACCTCTGTAAATAGTCTCTTCATTACATTCTTTTCAGTAAAATCACTTTCAGTGCACCTCCTGTTTCCTACCTAAACTGTGACTGTTACAGTAAGATATGCCAAAAGTAAGATACGCTTAAAAATATGATACGCTTACAATAAGATATGCATTAAAATATCCACATTACTGGTCTAGATTTAAAAAAAATGGAAACATATATAATAGCCACAACTATTGTTTAGAGAATCAGCTGCTTTCACCAGAAAAAGTAGTGAAAACCAGGAGTCCTTTTCAGGTAGTAGAGCAGATGACCTGGAAATCCACCGCATGGTTGGGCTTTCCTCCTCCTACTCCACACCTGTTCCGTATAGGCCCCCAGGCTGAGCAAACAATTAGAGCTCAGCATTACAGAGTAGGCAACTTCTAGCAAAGCACTGACAGTCACACGGGGAAGAGCTAGTATCTTTTGAGTATTTATAGGGAATGAACATATGGTGAATTTCTGTAACAAGTTTACATCTTTCGGTGTCCTGAAATGTCCATTTTGCAATAAAAAAGAAAGCATAAGGATTCTCAGGAAGGATACAAACCCCTAATTTGGGGCAGATTCCAAACAAGTGATTCAGCATCAAAGCACAACTTGAATGCCATAGTGAGAAATAAGGATTTTATTTATAAGGCAATGTGGAGGCATCAATTGATTTTTTTTCTAGGTGGATAGTTACATGATACACTTTCTACTTTTATAAATTGAATTTGGTAACAATAGAATACTTGGATTGGAGTAGGGAAACATTGGTCATAAGAAATGAAAACTCCAGTTTGAAAACTATCAAATTCCACAAAGGCAACCCCTAGTTAGAGCTACTAGAAGGTAAGCTCTGTGAGGACAGGGATTTATCTGTTTCATTCCCTAATATCCGTGTATCTAGAATAGTGCTTGGCACATAATAGGCACTCAATAAATATTTGTTGCATAAATAAATATAGTTATCCAATTTTATTATCAGTAAGAATCACAAATTAAAAGTAAGTTAAGAAACAATATAGGCAAAAGAATAAATTACACTGGACCTTGGCAAAACAGGAAAGGGGACCCACAGAACTATACTTCTGGAAGGAATTGTCCATGTCCTTGGCCCCCACTGCTTCCTAGCTCATCAGCATAATACATCTAAGAGAGCAGTTCCAAAAATGAGGATGTAATTAGAACTGTTATTCACTTTCACCAAGAAGACTGTATTAATTTTCTAAGGTTGCCATAACAAAATACCACAGACTGAATGGTTTAACTAACAGAAATTATTAAGTATGTTTTCCCAGTTCTGGAGGCTAGAAGTCTAAGATCAAGGTGTCAGAACATTTGGTTTCTTCTGAAATCACTATTTTTAGTTTGCAGATTGGATTAGGGCCAACCCAAATGTCTTCCTTAAAGACCCTGTCTGCAGTGTGGTCCCTCTGAAGTACTGGAGGCTAGGGTTTCAACATGTGAATCTTAGGGAGACATAATTCAGCTCATAATAGAGACTATTAGGACAATAATCCAACCATCCTGTTTAGGCCTCTTTACTCCAGGCCTTGAGGCATTTTTGTCTGGACTCTCATATAACATTTCCCCAGTTGCTCAAGTCCCCTCACTCTGCCCTATGGAATTCATAATCAGTTACTCACAAAATTCCTCATATCTCCTTTGTAACTATTCCCTTTCCCTTCTTTTCCTACTGGAACTCAGGTGTCACCTGGGGACATTGCTCTTCCAGGAGTCCTCTAAATTGGAGGCTGTTCCTTCTCACGTACCCCAGACCCCACTGGACCTGGAGGTGCCATGGTTGTTTTTATCTTATTGCCTTTTTTAGAACATATGTCTTTCCTATTATTAAATATTTTCAACTTCTTTAAAGCTCATATCATCAAATTCTATCACCTACTACATATCCTTATGGCAATTATCTGTACACTTCTGGGTAACTTCTTATTCCTTACAGATGAGACCTTTTTTTCTCACTGTCTGTCATCACAGAACACTTGATAATTTCAGTGTATACATAAACATACAGAGTCATTCCTTCTGGTAACCTGATCTCTCTTTCCTTGACTTCCTTATTTTTAGCTTTTTTTTTTTTTTTCTGAGACGGAGTCTCACTGTGTCACTCAGGTTGGAGTGCAGTGGTGCAGTCTCAGCTCACTGCAACCTCCACTTCCCAGGTTCAAGCAATTCTCATGCCTCAGCCTGCCAAGTAGCTGGGATTACAAGAGTGCATCACCACACCCAGCTAATTTTTTGCATATTTAGTAGAGAGGAGACTTCACCATGTTGGCCAGGCTGGTCTTGAACTCCTGACCTCAAGTGATACACCTGCCTCAGCCTCCCAAAGTGCTGGGACTACAGGCACTAGCCACCACGCCCGGCCTTGACTTCCTTATTCTGATGAGCTTATACCCCATTGTATTAGCCTGTTTTCACACTACTAATAAAGACATTATCCAAGACCAGGTAATTTATAAAGGAAAGAGGTTTAATGGATGCCACATGGCTGGGGAGACCTCACAATCATGGCAGAAGGCGAATAAGTAGCAAAGTAACATCTTACATGGCTACAGGCAAGAGAGCTTGTATAGGGGAAACTCTACTTTATAAAACCATCAGATCTCATGACACTTATTTACTATCAGGAGAACAGCATGGGAAAGACCCGCCCCCATAATTCAATTATCTCCCACCAGGTCCCTCCCACCACATGTGGGAATTATGGGAGCTACAATTTAAGATGAGATTTGGGTGGGAACACAGCCAAGCCGTGTCACCCTATCCCATCTGTCTTACTCTATTTTTGGTTGCTTAGAACAGAATATCTGAAACTGGTAATTTGTAAAGAAAATGAATGAATTTATTACACTTATGAATGCCTCCAATTGAAGGAGTCCCATCTGGTGAGAGCCTTCTTGCTGGTGGAGAATCTCTACAGAGACCCAAGGTGACACAGAGCATCACATGGTGAAGAGGCTAAATGATCTAGTTGAGGTCTCTCTTCTTCTTCTTATAAAGCCTCCAGTCCCACTCCAATGATAACCCATTAATGATTCAGCAATGGATTCATG